TAGCTTTGGGAGTATGGCCATTTTCACAATGTTGGTTCTTCCTATCCATGAGCAAGGAATGTTTTTCCATTTATTGAAATCTTCTTTGATCTCTTTTGCCAACGTTTGTTTTAATTTTGTAACAAAATTAGCATGGTTATAAAAAATTTGTTTTGCCATATATTGAGACTGGCTATGTAATCTAACATGTAATTAACTTCAGTAGATGTTCTTTATCCAGATTGGGGATAAGGTATGTTCATGTATATGTTCAGTGTTCACATAGAGCACACTGTACCTACAACATCGATTACTTCTTGAAGTGATTACTTCTGACTTGAAAAATGTACTCCTCAGCAAAATGCAGTTGATAGAGGAGATTAAAATGGAAAGCATAAGGTGATGGTAATTAAGAACGTTACATATCAAACCTTGTTTGCTGAAGTTAAAACTATATTTAAACACGACTGTGTATGTTGTACTTGCTGTTAGTATGCATATTTAAATGAAAAAATAGCTAAAGTTCTATTTTTAAAGTATCACAGACTAGAAAAGGAGGATCATAGTGAACTCATAGAAAATGAAAGCTAGGAAATAATAGGACCTCAATTCTGAAGAAAACCACTATTGTGAAATGATTTGTGATTAAAAACTATAAAGTTCTATATAAAGGGAGGGGTTACTCTACCAGATAGTAAATCCTATTGGCTGTATTTCTTTTTCTGGAACTTAGCTAATTATGCAGGCCTGTCAATTGGTCACTGACTGAATAAACGCCGAGGCCATCATTTACAGAACTTGTGTTTAGATAGGGAGGTCTTTTTAAAGTACTTTGTGATGACAGAAATATGCTCTTGTGAATAGGGAAGATTAATGAGTAGCATAAACACTATTTTCATTACACCATAAAGAAGATGGGCAGTATTACTTGGGACTCATTTCCCAGGTAACTTGGCTTTACCTGTGCCTTGAAAAATTAAGAAAAAAATTGGCTTAACAAGTCCAATGACCTTCTTCAGGTGAGGATTAAGAATAACAAAGGAATACTTAACACAGCTATAATAATTTGCATTTCTACTAGATATGGAACACTGTGTGATGTGTCCAGTTCATCAGTATGCCAGCATTGAGAGAAATTGCTGCCTTCAAAAAACTGTGACTTTTCTGGCTTATGAAGACCCTCTGGGGAAGGCTTTGGCTAGCACCGCCCTGAGTCTCACTGTTGTCACAGCTGCTGTTCTTGGTCTTTTTGTGAAGCACCGAGACACTCCCATCGTTAAGGCCAACAACCGGACTCTCAGTTACACCCTGCTCATCTCCCTCACCTGCTGCTTCCTCTGCTCCTTGCTCTTCATTGGCCGGCCCAGCACAGCCACCTGCATCCTGCAGCAGACCACATTTGGAGTTGTGTTCACTGTGGCTGTTTCCACTGTCTTGGCCAAAACCATTACTGTGGTGCTGGCCTTTAAGGTCACTGCTCCAGGCAGAAGGATGAGGCAGTTACTGATATCAGGGGCTCCTAACTCCATCATCCCCATCTGCTCCCTGATCCAACTCACTCTCTGTGGAGTCTGGATGGGGACAAATCCACCCTACATTGACACAGACGCTCACTCTGAACATGGCCACATCATCATCGTGTGCAACAAGGGCTCCCTCACTGCCTTCTACTGTGTCCTGGGATACCTGGGCTCCCTGGCACTGCTGAGCTTCACCGTGGCTTTCCTGGCCAGGAACCTGCCCGACACGTTCAATGAAGCCAAGTTCCTGACGTTCAGCATGCTGGTGTTCTGCAGTGTGTGGATCACCTTCCTCCCCGTGTACCACAGCACCAAGGGGAAGGTCATGGTGGCCATGGAGGTCTTCTCTATCTTGGCCTCCAGTGCTGGGCTTCTGGGCTGCATCTTTGTCCCCAAATGCTACATTATTTTGTTAAAACCAGAGAGAAATTCCCTGCATAGGTTTAGAGATGAAGCACATTCTGGACGAAAGAAGCCTTCTTAAACTCTAAAAATATGTATTTCTCCTGAAGTAGATAGAGGATCTGAGGCAATTCCACACCATTTTGCAGTCAGATATTACAATATGGTATTTATTTCAATGACAAGTGATTCTTCTTCCTCTAGTAGTCTGTGTCATAATTCCACTTTTATCTTGAATTTTATTCTGAATTATTTATTTCATTAAATCTCTAATCCACATTATTTTGCCAAATTTGGATATTATTAACTTTTTTCTTGTCATCCTCTGCAATTTCTCAATTATTTTTATAAATTAACATAGTTTCATCAATAGATCAATAATGCTGAATGTCCTAAGGATTTTTCCTACTTTTCTTGTTTCGGATGTATCATTCTTTTAATATGCTTACAATAGTACGTTTGGATAGCTCTGAATCATTGTTTGGACTTTTAGTCCTATCCTGGTTCAGAAGCAGTTTCTTTCACGTCTCCTTAGGAAGCAGAACAGTGCTGATTGACCAGGGAAAGTGCAGATGTGAGGTTGAAGCGTCAGGGTGGATTATCTCCAGGGGAAACTCTTGGTGGCCTCCTCTGTGTGGAAGTGTGTGACATGACTTCCTAATGTGTAGTCCACCACATGAATATAGGCATCCCACCAAATGCCTAGTAGGCTAGAGGTTATATGGCTATCTTGAAGGTAATGGATATTTGCGAGGCATGCAGGAGAGCTGTGGCTGGTGCTCTGGGTGGTAGCACATGCTACTGAAGCTGAGCTCTTGGCCCAGAATGAATCCCTGGGATGGGTGGCTATTACGGACATGTGGGAGCCACCATGTAAGTATAGGGGTGACAATGTGATGTAAACTTGAGAGATATTGACACTTACTTTTAAAATATTTTAAATTTGCTAATGAAAAAATTGATGGAAAGTAATAAAAAGTAGCTGTGCACAATCAGCATGGTGATGAAGTAGCACCTCCTCATGCCAGTCCTGGGAGACACCAAGCTCCCGGCCCCAGGATGATTCATATGACAGGAGGAAGAAATCTGGAATGAACCTAGTACAGTGCTAGTGGTAGGGATGGACGCAGCTGGGGAGGTGGAGATGGCAGAGTCCAGGACACCAGACTGACTGGGGGTGAAGACAAACCCATGCTGACATAGGGAGGTCAGGCTAGCAGGCTGGATAGCAGGTGGAACTGCGTCTCTTGGAGAGTTTGCCACCTGCACTGGGTCCTTCCCAGTGGTGAAGTAGAGATGATTCTTGTTTTGGAATTCTGAAGAAGAGTGGACAAAATTCCCTGGCAGTCTGTGAGGAGTGACTAAGTGCAGACTGGGACACATGTTGGTTGATTGGTAAATGTACCTGGGAGTCTCTGACTTAAGTTGATATCTCTGCCTGACATGTGTAACATATTTTTGATAAATGTCTTTATGATGGCTCTTGTATCAGTCTGTTTTCCATTGCTGGGATGTAATACCTGACTCTAATGACTTCATGGAGATGTTTACTTGGCTTCTAGCTTGCTGTAGTTTTGGTCTAAACATGGCTGGGTCAAAGGCAGGAGCACATGGTGGACTGGCTTAGAGGTGGAGCTATTCAGTCCTTCAGTGGCCTGCCATGTCTCCTTGCCCTCTCTATTGGAGCATCACTCTCTCCTTTGCTGTGATGCCCTTGTACAGAGACAACCCAAGACTCCTCCTAGTCCTGTGTGCAGCTGGCCCTTCCTGGCCCTTGCACAGTCTCCTCTGTCCCACTCTCTGGAGTCTTTCTACTCTCATGCTGTGGGGATTATGGGTGTTGGGAGTGCCAACTTCCCACTCATTTCCCTGCCTCAACTTAAGGCTGCTTAAGTTCAGAGTTTCTCTCTCTCTCTCTCTCTCTCTCTCTCTCTCTCTCTCTCTCTCTCTCTCATTTAGTTGGGCGCAGGGTAGGAGGGGTCGTGGGGCTCCATTCAGTACCTTCACCACCTCTGTTGCAGTTCCTAACCTTGTTGTCACTACAGGTTCCATTTCATTGTTATGGTACAGTGAAATAAAAAACTCGTGGCCCATTGGGGATGGAGCAGCTTCCTGGCCACTCACTTTTGTGAAATTTGCTGTGGGCTGCAATGTCCTCTGTTTGATGGAAGGCAGGAGAGAAAAGGGGCCTTATATCCAAATCTATCCTGTGTGGCTTGGGTTCGCCACTCTATCACAGCCCATCAGCTTTTTGGGAACTTCACAGAATGGAAGTTCCTGCTTTGTGCACAGGCTGAGGTCCTACAGGCAGCCCTATGGTCTGCTTCACTGTTGTATAAAGTCCTGTACCTATATTTTATTTGACCTACAAGTCTTATTTCAGGCAGGCACTGCCACTGAGCTATATCCCCAGCCCTGAAGTCTTATTTCAGATTGATTTTGGCATCAGGATGTCCCTGCTTTTCTTCCAATTAGCTGTGTTTTAGATTATCTTCTATGAGGAACTCCAGCATGTCTCCTCCTCTACCCTGCCACGTTGACTCTCCTTTTGAGTTATTTTTAGATAAATGGATACAGCTTGGGACCACAATTTAAGTGAAGTAAATTGGACATGCACTTTAAATACCACACTGTCTGTCTTGTGTGAGAAACCCAAAGGGAAAATAGGGAGCAAAGTGGAGGATAAATGTGAGGAAGAACAAATTCTAAATAGGAAGGAAAACAAGGGGTGGGGAGGCTGGAAGGAAAGAGTGGAAAAGGACACAGAAGAGAATGGAAGGGCAGCACTAGAAGCAGAACTTTTGTAAATGCAGTGAGGAAGGACACAAGGTGGGGAGTGAAGCTGAAAAAGAATGAAGACAGGTTATGCACAGGTGTGGATCCCTATGATGAGTGTGATCAATACGCATGGCAAATATGTACTAACAAACAATGAGAATTTACATAAATAAAATTTCAAGTGAGACCATCTTTCTGATGTCTACATAAATGGAGGGATACTTCCAAACTTAAGATGTTGTGTTGTGCCCTAAATGAAATCTCCTTCTCTTCATCTCCTATCTTAGGTAGCACCTCCTCTGGATGTGGGGGAGTAACCTGGGATGCAAACATTTTGAGCTGAATAAATATTACCCAGGCTTGCTACTTCAACTCTCAGCACAAATTAAATGTAAGAATTTATTTCCATGTTAATATCTACCTATATATTTCCACTCTAAATGCTAAGCTTTGGTTTCAGCTTACATGTTAGATCTTCAGAATGATATTATCTTACTTTACTTGCTCCCTGACCTTGTGGAGGTCACAGACACAGGTGGTCTGTGATTGCTGGCAGTGCAGCCTGCATCTGTCTTCTGTGTGCACCCTGAGCTGCCTGAAGATGCAGGATCAGGGGGTCCAAGATCTGCTGGCATCACGGTTCACAGCTGAATGCCAAGAGAACCAGGTATTTCCCATCTACTTCCTGGGGGCAGGGCAGGTGACCCATGACCCTGTCGCTATTACAGTCTGAGTCTCTGCCTTCTGTGCACCCAGTGCAGACAGGAGATCCTGACTCAGAAGGCCCACAAACTGCTAACACTGGGGTTCGCATTTGGGCCCTCCCTGCATGTGCCCTGTGCTGCCTGAGGTACTAGAGCAGGCAGTCCATGAACTGCTAGCACCATGGTTCACATCGGGGCTTTACTTGTGCCCTGACCTCCTGGAGGTCACAGACACAGGCAATCTGTGATCACCACCAATGCAGCCTGTGCAAACCCTGAACACACCCCGAACTGCCTGGAGACAAGGAATCAAGTGGTCCACAAATTGTTGACCCTGCAATTTGTGTCTGGGTTCTGCCTGTCCCCTGAACTGCCTGGGGACACAGGACCACTGGTCCATGATTGTGCCACCAGTGCAGCCCACTTCTGAGTCATACACGTGCCCTGAGCTGTGAGGGGACTCTGGATCAGACAATCTGCCATCAGCTGAAATCATAGTACCTGTCTGAGACCTGGGAGAACTAGGTATACTTCATCTGCTGGAAGACCCCAGACTAAGCAGCACATCTCAGCAGACACTGAAGGGCAAGACTGACCACCAGGAAAACTAGGGACACTGGTGACCTTTGCTGAGCTGCCAGGGAAGATAGAGACTGAGCGTTCTGCCTCCAGCATCAAACATGACAAGATGAAGGACTAAAACACAATCTCAGAACTCAAGCACACTCAGAACAAGTTTAGGAGACATCGACATAGGAGAACTTGGTAAACAACTGAAACTGCTGAAATGATTGTAATGGAGATAAAGAAACAACTCCATCACGCCATAGAAGAGATGGGATCAGAAATAATCTCTCAGTCAAAAAATGAAATGACAATAATGAAATCATAGTACCTGTCTGAGACCTGGGAGAACTAGGTATACTTCATCTGCTGGAAGACCCCAGACAGAATTGCTCAGCACATCTAGAGAAGAAATATAGAAAAAAATAGATGAACATAGGCAATAGATGGAAATGTTACATGAACAATATAGGAATGAACTAGAATGCACGAACCAGATTCAAAGAGACATCCAGGAAATCAAAGTTTCCATTGAAAACTGGCAAAACTGCTTTTTTTTTTTTTGAATGAAGCCAAAGATAGAATTTCAGACCTTGAAGACAGCATGACAGCTAGCCATCATGAAAGAAAGGATCTCTTAAAATCAACAAGGATCCAGGAAAAATCAATTCAACAGCTGCAAGACGAGGTAAAGAGGAATAATGTACGACTTATAGGAGTCAATGGAACAGCAGGAGGCAACACAAATGGCATAAAAAGAACATTTGCAGAAATAATAGCAGAAAATTTCCCAAGCATGGGAAAAGAATCTGATATACAGGTAAATGAGGCATATAGAACTCCAA